GTTGTAGTTTTTTTTTTTTTTTTTTTTTTTTTTTTTTTTTTTTGAGAAAGGAAATGTTGTAGTTAGGCGGCTTTTGTTTATAAAGATTATTTGGGTTTTTGGTGATTTTTGTGTCCACTTGGTGTTATTTAGTTGGTATGATTTACTAAGGTTTTGGGAGGTAGTTGTTTTGCATATGCAGTATCTGGCGTATGCACCGGATCTCTCTGCGACTGGATTTTCCCTTCTTTATTATTTGATTAGTAGATGCCATTCTTCATCAATTTTTTTTTTTTAATTGTGAACACATATTTTAACAAGGGTGGACATCGATTTTAACTGTAGTGCACACGAATTTTAACTATTCTGCACACGAAATTTACTATGGGTGCACATATTTTCTCTCGGTGCCTAAGCATGATACAAGGACTACTGTTGCATACTTTAATGGGTTCCGTACTGTGCACTCATATTTGACAATGTGCACACACATATATCCTCTCATTTCTTATACACGAACGTGGCAATAGCGTTTTTCGGTTACTGATGTCGTGTACTCTGAGTGCACACTTCCACCCTAGCGTGTGCACACCTATATTTGTAATCAAAATATAACCACGCATGAGGATACGTAAGTGAGAGTCTAAAGTGAAAGTTCACTCTTGCCACAAGTCTACCATATAGTACTAACAAAATGTTCTCAAATATTTCATGCTAATTCAACACAAACACAAGGGGAATTTGAAACAAATTAAATAAATAAACTTCTAGTATAAATAGAGTTATAGTTCCATGCACCCAACATGAGTCTCATTATTATACTGTTTTATTCCTTTGATTATAAATATTTTATGCCCACAGCTCCATCCCGACCCTATTCTTCCTCATTGTGCTATTTCAAACATCAAATTCGACAACGGCCGCATATGTTGTGTAGAAATCAATACCTTCTTCTAATGTGTTGAACCATTCTCTTGCGAACGGTTTGATTGTATCTTCACATACTGGGGTCCATAATTGTGTGCCATCTTCAGTGATTTCCATCTCACATGTCTCTTGTTCAATTCTGCTTTCAACTACTCGTAACATTCACAATTTATTCCATTAACAAATATTTGTTTCCATCATTATGTTGTGATGTGTGTCCCAGGTGCACAAAATTTGAGGGCTAAGTGCACACCAGAAAGTGCTGGAAATTGTCTATGCATCAACCACAATGCTATCATTGTGTAATGTGTCTCCGGTGCACACACTGTTTTCACGCAATGCACACCACATCATGTCGGGCTTTGTCTCTCCATTTACCACAGTTCGAGCTATGTACTGTGTGATGCCGGTGCATACATTATTATTAGGCAATGCACACCATATCATGATGGGGTTCGTGTGTGCAACTGCCCCAGTTCTGTGTGCCCATGACATGAGTATTGAAACCGCCACCGGTTTATGCACCCCCCCCCACTATCGATGGTGCGCACGCCGTTCTTTAACCAGCATGGTCGGTGCCATCCCTAATTTTTTCCATGTTTTGAGAAATATTTCCCATCCGAAAAAAAAAAGGAAAAAACAGAGTCTTGGGTTCGCCATATTAGGCAGACTGATTGCTATCTCAAACCTTTACAAAAAATGGCATCTCAACATTACACCGTGGATGAATATTAAACTTAGTTCAGGGCTGAAGATGAGTACCAAATTACGAGAATATTACCTCTTTCGCCGGCTTCTATTATATGTCCGTGACCTTCCGTTCCTTTGCGTTCGTCTGGGTGCACACAGAAGATTTCTGGAGGAGTCCACTCTTACCGTAAATACCACCCTATAATCATGCTAAGTATCCTATTTCATTTTTACTGCAACTTTGTTATGCATTGTCTATTCTCGTTAATACCCTTATTTATTGCGAACAGTATATTCTAGGGGTGTAAATGAGCCAAGCAGCTCGCGAGCTGCTTGCGAGTGGCTCGGTCAAAGCTCGGCTCGAGCTCGGTCAAAATCAAGCTCGAATCGAGCTCGAGCGGCTCGTTTAGTAATCGAGCTCGAGGCGAGCCTAGATATTCTAGGCTCGTGGCTCGTCAAGCCGCTCGCGAGCCATATAATATATATATATATATATATATATATATATATATATATATATATATATATATAATACATAATATAATATAATATAATAATAATAATATATAAAAATAAGAATTAGAAATTAAAATTTTAAACTTAAAATCTCTAAAAGATTTCTATTATTTATGTATGGATAAAACAAAGTAGTTTGAATTTTAAATCAAAAGTATTAAATAAGTCAAATTCAATGTCAAAATCGAGCTCGAACTCGAGCTCAAGATCAAGCTCGAGTTCGAACTCGAATAATCGAACTCGGCTCGAGCAGCCCAAAAATTACCGAGCTCGAGCTCGAGCATCAGTTCTAGAACTCGATCGAGCTCGAGCTCGAACTCGAGCCGAGCCTTCATTAACGAGCTCGAGCTCAAGCCTACCCAGGCTCGAGCTCGGATCGGCTCGTTTACACCCCTAGTATATTCTATCTATTTGTATCCAAATAATCTCAGCCATTAATAACCAATGATCCTACGGTCTCAAATTGTCCACACGTTTGTATTTTAAGTGTGTTTGCATGTGAATGCAACCCTATATATATATATATATATATATATATATATATATATATATATACACACACACTTTTTTACTTATTGTTATTCTTTTGTACTTTTGTATATAAATTACTGGTTACCACACGCATTGCGCAAATAGTTTGATGCTTAATGTGTATTTTTAAATTAGTGTTTCAAAGTTTATCAAAATATTATTCGGTATCATGGCATATATCAATGCAAGATTATCAAATTTTTTATAAAAAATAAATATTTTAAAAATGCATAACTATGATATGTGGTAGAAATGCTTGATTAACTAGTGCATGCAATAACAATTTTAGAAGGAAGTACCCTCATTGGATAGTACCATAAGCATAACTTTTGCAACATAAAACCCTATTAATGGGCGTGATCCATGCTTCCTCTTGTTGCCACTTTCGCAATAAATGAATTCTTGATTTGATCTGATCTAGTCCCTTGGTGTGCTCCGCTGCAATTTTAGTGTCTTGGCGCAGTGCACTTTCAAAAATAAAACCAAATCCTCCTTCCCCAAAAAAACAATGATAATAGACATAGTTTCTCATCTGTGCTGAATATATACTGTAATTAGGTGTACCATTTTATCAATGCCTAATGCGTGATTCTAAATAATTAACCAAAGTTCATGTTAAATTTTATATTGTAATTTTTTTAATAATTTTTTAACCACAGTATATGTTGTCAATTTTGATTGGGATTAAGTTCGAACCTAAGACATTCCTTATGAAAATCAATGAGTAAGTTAAGAATAATAAATAGTTAACGGAATATTCCGTTACTAAAGTGTATACTGACGGAATACAAGGGTATTTAAGAAAAGTAAATGATATAATAGAGGGTAAAATAGGAAAAAAAAATACTAAAATTAAAATCATATAAACCATTCATTTCGACAAACAATTACACTAATATTTTTTAGTTCTCGTTAGTGACCTAATTTTATTGACCTCTTATTAGATTTGTAGATAAAGCATTCTACACGTCTTATATATTATTCCCAAATGTTGAGCATCATACACATATACAGAGTTTTTTTCCCAAAATGGTCCCTTAACTATTGCTCATTCTCAATTTTACATTTCAACTTTCAATTGCACCAAATCTGGTCCCTCGACTTTCAAAAACTCACCCAATTTGGTCCTCCGTTAAGTTTTCCGTCAACTCAGTGTTAAAATGGAGGGCATTTTCGTCCTTTTACCTATTGTATGTCGAGGGACCATTTGGTAATAGTCAAGGTACCATTTTGAGAAAAACTCGTTTAATTGAGTGAATTGCGATTCGACGGAATTGCAATTCCCTCCAACCAAACAATGTAATTGAGGCTTTTATTGAATTTCAATTCAATTACCGCAAATTATGCTGGGGACTCGGGTCTAAAACGACGTCGTTTTTAGGGAAAACGACGACATTCCAGTTAAAAAAAAAAATGTGATTTTGTCTCGCCGTTAACGGCGTTATTCGTTTGTGGAATTATGAATGTACAGTTATGGAATTATGAACACAGCGCTCTGACATTATGAACTTACAATTATTAACATATAGTGATAAAATTATGAACATAGAGCTCTAAAATTGTGAACATAGAGCTTCAAAAATTATGAATGTACAGTTATGGAATTATGAATGTACAGTTATGGAATTATGAACATGGAGCTCTGACATTATGAACATATAGGGATCAAATTATGAATATAGAGCTCTAAAATTGTGAACATAGAGCTCTAAAATTGTAAACATAGAGCTTCTAAAATTATGAATTTACAGTTATTGAATTATGAATGTACAATTACGAAATTATGAATATACAGTTATGGAATTATGAACAGAGCTCTGACATTATGAACTTACAATTATGAGCATATAGTAATAAAATTATGAACATATGCTCCTATAACGAAGCGGTCTGAAATTTAAAAAAAAATGGTAGAAGATAACGGTGCCACTAACGGCACCGTTACCTGTCCACAATGCATGCTGGACAAAGATCCATAGCATAACGATTGTTCAATTACACAAAAAAAAAAAAAAAAAAAAAAAAAAAAAAAAAAAAAACGAGTTTTTCCCAAAATGGTCCCTTGACTATTACCAAAATGGTCCATCGACATAAAATAGGTAAACGGACGAAAATGCCCTCGATTTTAACATTGAGTTGACGGAAAACTTAACGGAGGATCAAATTGGGTGAGTTTTTGAAAGTCGAGGGACCAGATTTGATGCAATTAAAAGTCAAAATGCAAAATTGAGAATGAGCAATAGTCAATGGATCATTTTGGAAAAAAACTCCACATATACATATATACACACACTCTTCGATTCTGAAACAGAAAAAAGTAAAAGAAGCAACAATTGAAGGTGTTTTATCCCTTTTTAAGAAACAATTTTACACAACATATTACAATGAAATCCATCTTTATACACCTAAATAACGAAAAAGTAATTATTTACCTTGCTGCCACTTTTTACTGACCTAACATGCATGCTTACTTACTTGCTTAGCTAGTTAGCTTGATTCCAAAAAAAAAAAAAAAAAAATGGAATTACATTTTTCCTTTATTTAATTTCACTAATAAAATCTGGACATGTCACAAAAGTTTTATTCGTTAATCTGAGAGTAAATAAAATAGTGAGATTTAACACAAATTTATCATCACCAGTACGTTCATGAGGATTGTAAATTCAAACCAAATAATAATAATTACACCAAAAAGAAATAGCATAAATCACTGGCACGAGTAGCTGGATCAGTTGGTTCGGGATGGTAAATTGTGAGTAAGAAAGACCATAACTTCAATTTGCAGACATATTTGATTTAGTGGCCATGTCCATAATACCTCCGAACCCACCTTCCTTGAGATACTCCATGTACCTGGAGAACTCCGGCCTGGCCGTAACCTTCTTGCTCTTCCGGCGCCCATCGAAGAGGCTGAAAATGGGGTGAATCTTGCTGGCCTTCTCCGCTTTCTTGGCCTGCGATTTCGTTTCTGACGACATCGTCACTTTCTTGGACGATGAAGAAGTAAAGACGCCGCCATTTTTAGCAGACGGGACGCTCGTCGTTCTGCTCAACTTGGGCTCGAACAGCGGGGCTTCATCCGTTAACTGCTCGTAGGCAAGTGGGCTTTTTCTTGTGGTTAGTGATCTCAACATCGCCATTAAATTGAAACTACCGACTGTTATAATAAGCTAGCTAGCAGCAGTACAGTTTCTTTGACTGATCTGATCTGCAGCATCAATGGCGATATGATGAATGGGATGGGATGGTATGGGGGTTATCAAGTTTGGAATGATATAGCGAGGAAGAAGAGTATTGGTTAGGTTTGTTTTCGTAAGAATGTAGTAATCAATTAGGTGGGAACTCATGCAAAAGGTTTGACAATAGTAGAAGCTTGAATTGTTAATTTGTTTGACTTGTGGGTGCAGAAAGTCTGATCATGCGAGCTATCAGGCGCCATTCTTTTATGGTAAGAAGTAGACCGCCGTTTGGTTCTTTGGTACATGGATTTGGATTATATTCTTTCCAAACTTCATCCCTATGACTAGCTGAACTGTCCAGATGGATTTGGATTATATTGTTCAGAAAAGTGGAATTAAAGATATTAATAATATAAAATAAAATCAAAAAGTGTTTTGTGGTAACTGGTAAGTTTGCCTAACTAAATTATACATAATTAACTAGCTCAAATCAAAAGGGTTAATAAGTCACTCCTATTAAAAGTCGAACTTATAACTAGTTACCAAATTAATAACTTGACATACCAAACAGCACTCTTGGTGGATCAAACATTATGAGACGCCGAAGTGAGAAAATTTGGTATTGTTTATTAAATTTTGTGCATGCGACTTATTTCCTGAGACATTTAAAGCGTATGGTTGAGTAGTTTACGTTTAAAAGGCACTGATTGCCCAAGAAATTCAAAAACATTATACAATTAGTCAAATGTTGCTGCTCTTATATTAAATGGGGCTAACCATGTAACATCTGGCGCATAGAAATGTCAAAACGTTGAATCATAGTTTGAAATGTCTCAACCGGCCTCTTAAATCAACAAAAGATAAATTTTAATATTAGACTGGTACTAATACCTTTTGTCTAATTACCCTATACCATCTTTACCTGAAGGTAAAACTCGTTATTTGAACTTGAAAATACGCTCTACGTGAATACTATTTTATGACTATAGTCGGTAAAAGATTACGGCCCTGTTTGGTAAAAAATTAACTTATAGGTTAATTTTGGCTTATTTGATCACTATTAATTGTTTGATTTAGTTAAAATATCAATATAAATGTTTAGTTAATTAACTTTTTGCAACTCCAAAAGGCTAAAATTAAAAAAGCTACTCCTAGCAACTTTTTCAATTAGCTTTTTGAGAAAAGAAATTATACCGAACAGCTATCAACAAACAGCTAATTTACCAAACACTTTTCTACAATCAGCTAATGTTATCAACTATTTATACTCTCTAATTAACACAATCAGCTAACAACCATTTTACCAAACAGGACGTAAGGAGGTAAACCAACTTAAATTACCTATAATTAACTTACTCAAATCAAGAAAACCAATATACAACCAAAATGCATATATGTATTGGTAATGCCATAGGTTTTGAATTGAAATTATTTTATTTAATCAAAATTTTCTGCCTTTTTCTTCCTGGTGGACCAGTTCTGTCAGCAAGTATTTTATAGTCTGATATCTAGATTGGTCCTAAATCACTAAAAAAGGGGAGAATAATTTAAATTCAAAACCTTTGCATTACTAAGAAAAAACCTTTGTGTTTCTTGTCTTCGTGTGAAATATGTTTAAAATCCAAATTTCTTGGAGCTGGAAGCCTGGAGCTTACATTCACAAAGCTAAAGAGTAAAAGATAGCCAGGGGTAAAAAAAACCCTGACTTGGTAATGGTATAAATTACAGCTGCAGCAGCACTATAGCCGGATTGATGTCTTGGCTACCGCCTACCGCTCCTCTGAGTTGAACTTGTTCCAAGCTTCCTATAAAAATCAAGAATAAAATAAAATTAGAAGGGATATAATCAGGGAACCTTTTGTCAACAGAACATAGCATCATGCAGCGTGGGTGGTGTAGAAAACTGAAGACTCAGGCATCTGAACACACCTTTAGAAGATCAAAGACCTTTTCGCATATATACTTTTGCTGAATGGTTGCGCCCCGTTGCTGTAATTTGTCAGGGTGGACGCATAGAGTGGCTTTCCTGTAAGCTTTCTTTACAGCTGCAGAAGTTATGACTTCTGTTAATGGAACTGGCTGCCAACCGCTATCAGGCCCAAGAATCTGTCAACAACTTAATCTAGTCATTCATTTATGACAGACACTGACAAAGAAAAGAAAACTATGCAACTCACTTCAACGGGAAAATAAAAACGTATAGGTAGGTATTTGCTTCTCAAAGACATATTCGAACACCAGTTTAGCCTCCTTTTCTAACATTAGTAATCTTGTAAATATTTCATATAACTGACACTCCACATATGAAGGAAAAGATGTACGAAGTAAGAATGCAAGGAATTCCTCAAGACAGGACAATTCGGGGGGACAAAAAAACCAAAAAGTAAAGCCAGAGAAGCAATAAATCATGCATTGAGTAAGGATGTCATACATATTGCAATGTTGAAAGCAATGCCCGCAAATTCCCTTCTTTCCCACTTGACCATCTCTTAACTTCACCATCTAGAGCTTCTGCCAATCTCTGCAAGCATACCATCACATAAGATCATATGCAATAAATAGGTAAATATGTAAACTATGTCAAGTAGAATGACACGTACATTCCTCTCTGCTTGCTCTCTTTGAGCAAGAAGATCACGCATGTTTTTCTCTGCAAGAGCCTTGGCCTGAAGTGACACCATAAAACATGAGATGTATAGACAGGTAAACATAAGAGCTCTATAAATGCCCCCACCCCCTTCCAAAAAAATAAACCCTTTAAAAGTAATGGGGTAAAGACAAGAAATCACATACAGCACGCTCAGCTGTTCTTTGATATCTCTCTATGCGAGCTTTACATCTCTGAGGTGATTCACCTTCAATGCCTATAACAACTTAAATTAAGAATTTGCAACAGAAAAAAAAAAAAAAAAAAAAAAAAAAAAAAAGTTCCCAACAAAAAGTAAAAGTGATATGCAGGATTAATAACCAATAAGGGAAAGCCCTTGTTTACATACCAGCATTAGCTGAAGAATATGAATATCTCAACTTCGAGGGTTGTGGATTCTGTTGGTCCGGAATATTCTGTCATTATCACTGATTAATAGACTGCTGTAGGATTGTATGTAAACACACAAAAACAAAACGAAAAAGATACTCACAGAAGAGAAAGAGCGGGTTCTCATTTCTGTACTCCCAGAAAATCTATCAGAATATGATCTCTCCACTCGTTCTCGTGCATCATTGGCAGCCTTCTCAGCCATTGCCTTCTCAAAGGCACGCTGCCGAGCCTCTGCAGTTGCTCTCTCTACTGCAGCACGCTCTGCCCTGAGCCTAGACTCTGCAGATGCCTTCTCACCTAAATATTTCTCCCTAGCATCCACGAATGGCTTCTCTAATCTTCCTCGATTATCTACTGTAGCCTTTTGCCCTACTTCAGTAGCGGCTCTGTCTACAGCAGCTCTTTCTGATCTCTCTCGGGCTTGAGCATACAACTTTTCAAGAGTATCACCAGTCACAGCCATCCTGTCCTTTTCTCTTTCCCTTTCTCTCTCCCTCTCTTCTTCTATCTTTTTTAGATATTCACCCTCCAGATCTTGCTCTTTTGCCTGTCTTTCGACTTTTAGCTCTTTAGGAATCCTGCCTTCATTTGACATAATCTCTTCTCTTCCAGTGCTCTTGTTAGTGCTTCTTTGATCTGTCTGTGATGGGGTCTCACCATCTTCTAGAACAGCTGACAGAGCTTCTCCAATTTTCCTTCCATTGTCAGACCAATTCCTAACAACTTGACGTGAAAACTTCTCTTTAGTAACCTCCTTGTTGATGGGAAACTGCAATCCCCCATTGCTGTTCCCTTTCTGCCCTTCAAAAGTTGTTGCTTTTACATTTTCAGAATGGCATGCCATTTGAGAGGCCAAATTTTCCTTTTCAACATGCAATTTCCCAATGCCAATGCCAATTTCTTGGGAGTTTGTCAGATGCCCATCCAAAGATGGTGGATTTCTGACAACTTTACGTTGCGAGTTGTCTTGTTTTTCACTGGATGAGTTGAATCTTTCTTCAACCGGCAGATTATTCACTCCAACTTCTGCTTCTTCTTCACCATCTTCATGTTCAGCTTTTATCTTTTCATTGTCATGCATAAAGGCTACTTCAGTTTCTTCCAGCTTTTTAAAACTTCTCTCAAGCTTCTCAGACATTTGGCTCACATCCACCTTCTCATCAAAACTTGGTTCATAGGCCCTATCAAATGTAGCAGCATTCGTCCCATCCATCCCAATCACTTCATTGTTCTTGGCCTGTTCACTCAATTCTTCGAGCTTACAGTGATCTTCAATTATCCAATCAATATCATCAAGCTCATCAGCTTCTTCAGATATGTTATCAACTTCTACCTCAGAAGTTGTGGCTGTTCTCAGTTCATCTTGTTCTTGCTCTTGAAACTTTGTGATTCTCACCCCACCTCCATTTCCTTCACAAGAATTACAAGGTCCCACCCGACATTCCTCTCTTTCATGATCCTGGTTTTTTTCTTCAGGTTCATTCTTCGGGAAAGCTGTAGGAAATTGCTTGCAACCATGCTCCCACTTAAAAGCATCCCTGATCTTATCATGATCCTCACTATTAGAAGCCACTTCTTTGTGTCCCTTATTTTCTTCTTGTTCAAGATCCATCTTCAATATCTTGTCATTCATTTTGCTTTCCCATTTGATTTCCTGCTCAACATCTTCTTCCCAAAGAGATTCTTTAATTCTGTTTCCATTTTTGTTTATTTCAAGAGCCTCCTGTTCAACATTTTTTTCCTTTCCTCCAGAGTCCCCTTCTTGTTGCTCATCTCTTTTCTCCTGCTCAAGACCATGCTTCAAAATATTTTCATTTGATATTTTTTCAACAGAAGCATTATGTCTTCCCTCATATTCTTCCTTCTCCAAGTCCATTTTTGGCTCTTTTCCATTCACTTCCCTTGCATCATCCATGACACTCTTTTCATTATCAAATCGATCACAGTCATGGTTTGGTTTTGGTTTAGCTCTAAATTTGTCCATATTCTGCTCAGATTCACTGGGGACCACATCATGTTTATATCCGTTGTTATTTAACCCTGAAATTTGTCCCTGCTGCTGTGATTCTCCCAAATTTAAATCAAGTTCAAATGGATCTTGATCCACTCTACCAGATCTTCCACACTCCTCACCCAACTCAAAAGCCTCTTTGTTCATTTTTAGTTGTTCCTTGTTTTCTTCCCAGTCAGGAGCCCCTTTGGCAGGTCTAAATGTTTTGCAGTTTTCATGCTGTCCAAATGCATCAGCAGCTGCTCTAATTGGCTGTTGGTGCTCATGTGAGTCCATGTGTTTCATCTCATATTTAAGTTTCTGAGATGCGTCCTGAGGTAGGAATGTTTCAGTCACTTCAAAGAATTCCATTGCTTCCCTCCATGCAACAGTTCTGTCAGTTTTATGAGCTCCTTGAGAATAACCTTCCTCCTGCTTGATTTCTGAAGATTTTCCAGCAAAATTGATGGAATTCCCTCCTTCAGACAGATCTAAATCAACCTTATTTGTCTTCTTAACTATTTTGCTTTCTTCAGAAAATGGTTCATGTTGACCAGCTTCTTTTTCACACTTTCCTGGCACTCTATTATCCTCGTGATGGGCAGGTTCATCAAAAGTCTTGCTTGTAATTCCCTCCATAGTATTGCTCTGCAGACGCTGTTTACAACTTTTTAGATCTTGCTTCTTCTTTTCCATAGATTCTTTTGCACTTCGAACCTTTGCTTGCGCTTTTGCCATTGCATCTTTTATCATTTCAGTAGATGAACTTGCATCGACTTCCGCAGCAAAAAAGGGCAATGGAGCTTCACCTGGTATTCGTTCACAAGCATAATTCTTGGAAGTATGGAGTCTTGAATTTGGTCTATTAGATTGGCTTGTCTCTGCAAACGCAGGCGGCGGTCTTGATGGTGGTGGCAATTGAGAAGGCCTAGTTCGTAAGCTGATGTCAGTCACACTGAAGAAGGGCAGCTTTGTAGGTTCTGGATCATCTCCGTAAACTCCAAAACTGCTGTTTGTGAAATGGGAAGCACTTTTCTTATATTGGTTTTCTTCTGAAATGCTTCCACCAAAACTCATACCCTGGCTGACATCAATAGTTGCCTCTATAGGAAACTTCCCATCTTCTGTATTTCTTGAACTCTGGTATCCCGAAGCAGCCTGCAACCGATCTGTCATCACGTCTGAACCATCCACATCAGTTCTCTCATTAGACCCGTGATATGAGACATTGAACTGCTTAACATCATTAATTGAGTACTGCATATCATCATAGGGCATGCTCTGACTCCTTTCAGAAAAAGCAGAAGGATCAGAATCATCTGAGAGAGATTCACTTTGAGCTGGACTCCTATGGTCATGAGATGGAAGAAAAAGTTAACAGCAAAATTCAGCTTCCATTTATAACTGACAAAAACGTAATTCTTAAAAACTAAATAAAATGAGCTTTTTCCTCAGATATTCACATGTAACATCTTCATGTAGTACAATGTACAAAAACGAGAATGTTTAAACAATATTCATAACCATGTGGTGTTTTATTTTATCCCCACAACTTTGTAGGAAAAGACGCAAACCTATGGGACCAATCTTCCTTACAAAAATTTCAAACCCCTTGGGAAGTGTAGGGAGCAATTTCTTCTTCCCACCGGATAAGATGGCCCAGCATCAAATTTGACCAAAACATTTATGCCATACTTTTAACCACTCCTGAATTTCCCAAATCCAGATTAATTTCTTGTTGTCTTGTTGCAGTGCAAGAACCTTAAATTTTCAATCCAGTTCAATCTTAAGCAAAGTTTAGCACATTGGAACAGAATAAACCTCAAAATAAACAAAAATGCTGACACTAAGCTGCTGCCAAATAAGAAATGATAGCCTGCTAGGACATTTTTACTTGTTACTTTTCTACCATCACCTTCCCTTCTCATCCTAATTATATTTAAATTGTCGATCCAGAAGCCAATAAAAGTTTAGTTAAAGCACAAAGACAAAAGCAACTCGGTTCTTCAAGCAGTCTTCACCAATGTAGCATAGTAGCTTGTTAGTATCATATCTCACAATTATGCATAAATGAGCAAAAAGAAACATGAAAATTTCGGCTTCATATTGGATAGAGCAAATGAGACAAATCACAAAAGGCTATAGTGATCATACCAGGCCTCATCAGAAGAATTGTAGCCAGCACTGGACTGTCTCACCAAATCCTCGTAGGAAAGCGCAAAATCTACAACGTTGAACCCCCCGAAAATCTCAGAGTAGTCGAACTGCGAGGTCCGGACATCGAGAGGGAGCTCCTCGTCGACCGCCGGGAGATCCAGAATCGGAATGGAGGAAGTTCGGGAGGAGTGGAAGCCGCCGAAAATCTCGGTGTAGTCCTCGAGGCGCGGAGAGAGCGTTGGCACACCCAACTTCGGCGGACCTCCGAAAACGTCGTCGTAAAGAGACTTGCTCGTTTTGGTTGTGAAGCCATTTCCATGGTAACTCCTCTTGGAATAAGAATGCGAGAGATTCTCCATGGAAATGAACCTTCTCTCTCTATCTCTTAAGTTATCTGAATATACGTACAAAAGTGTATATATATAAATGCAGCAATATATATTTCGTATCAGTCTGCACTCTCTGTCTCTATCACACTCTCTGTTTGATGGAAGACCGCAGGTCCGGCTGGAGAAAGACCCATGAGGGTAGAATGGTAATAATGATATTCTTAGTAAAGTTTCCGAATTTTAATTTAAGGAAACAAATACTCCGTATCTAAGGCTCTCGCAAATTTATTTAAGAGCTTATAGTTTATTTTAAGTTATTAATAAACTATAAGCTTTGTTTGGTAATGTTCTCAAAATAAGTTTCTAGTTTAAAATAAGAGCTTATTTTGAAACACTACCTTAAGTAGCGTTTCAAAATAAGCTCCTAATTTCTTAACTTTTTTTTTCAATTTTTATTCTTATTATTTTAAAAAAATGACATAATTTATCTTTTTTAATTAAAATTTTTTTTTCTTCTCTTTTTATCCGCAACTTTCACGGCAATTATTATTATTATTATTATTATTATTATTATTATTATATTATTATTATTATTAGATTTGCAACAATATTGCTACTTCATTATGAGATACTAGATCATGATTATGCTAATAGTTTTATTTTGAAATATTTTTTTTTTAAAGACAAAATGTTAAATTTTAATATGTAAACAAACTAATTTAAATTTTATGAAAATGTCCTTTTTAGTCTTTTTACATTTATCAGCTTATCAAAAAGCTAATTTTACCAAACACTTTCAATCATAACCGCTAGCTTAACAGCTCTTCAGTTTTCAGCTCCGAGTTTATAGCTTTTCAGCTTTCAGCTCCTAGCTTATAGCTTTTCAGCTAGCTTTGCCAAATAGAGCCTAAGTCATCTAAATCAAAACAGCCAACTATTACAGCACGTTTGGTTCATGGAATGAATTTGAAAGAAATAGGAATGTTATTCCACAGAAAATGGAATAGGTAAGGAATAGAATATGAATTGTATTCTATTGTTTGGTTCACTGAAGAAATAGACTTTAATAATTGTATTCCAATATTTAGTTGGTTAAAGGAATAAAAATGGAATAGGTTTTAAAGACATAAATACCCTTATACAAAATAATAATAATAATGATAATAATAATAATAATAATAATAATAATAATAATAGTGAATATGGTTATATGATTATGATATATTGAATGTTATATATATATATATATATATATATATATATATATATATATTATTTATTTATATACATGTATATGCATGTGTGCGAGAGATAATAATAATAATAATAATAATAATAATAATAATAATAATAATAATAATAATAATAATAATAATAACACATATTTATATTTATATTTGTTTTTCCATTTATCCCATATTGGTTGAAGAAGTAGGGAATGGAGACTTGAGGCTCATATAAAAGGAGCATCAAGGCTTCATAATTTCAATTGCAATGTCATCCGCTAGGCAAGCGGATGGGCATGCTACTTAATTTAGGAGCCAAGGCTCCATAATTAAGGAGTCTTATGCCCTTATACAGTTAATTAATTTTATATATATATATATATATATATATATATATATATATATATATATATATATATATATATATATATATATATATATATATATATATATATATATATGTCAAGGGTGTTTTGGGGAAAGAGTTTTCTTTCTCCAAAATGCCAATTGCAAATGCTGCAAAATGTTTGTGTGTATATATATGTATATACATATAATTTATTTAAATATATATTTATTGATAGATAAAAATTATAATTAATTAAATATATACATTTATATAATACATTATATTTATTAAATATAAATATTAAATAATGTGCAAAGGGTATTTTTTGGTATTTTGATATAAAAGTTATTCCCAATGGCATGGGGATAACTAATACCAAGGCTCCCCTAGGAATGACTATTCTCCTTGCGAAGGTAATAGCTCATTCCTAGGAATGTTATTCCCGTGACAAAGGATCTAACCAAACAATAGAATATGTCTATTCCAATGAATGTTATTTCATTCCTGACCTATTCCATGAACCAAACATTCCATGTGGTCAACACTGACGCGGCACTAAGTCGTGAACATAATGTAATGGGGTTGGGGTGGGTGCTCCGAGACGATCAAAGTCGTTTTTTGGCGGCTTCAAACCGGTGCGTGCCAGGTCAGTACAGTGTGGTGGAGGCAGAAATGTTGTGCATTCGGGAGGCGCTAGCTAAAGAACACTGGGTTGGGGGATGTGGATGTCGAAATGGACTCACAATTATGTTTTCATGCTTTGCATTCTAATTCTTTTTTTTTCTGCTTTTGGGTATTTAGTAGATGATGTTAAAGATGTTACCTTGTATGTCGATGAGACGATGAATGGGGTCAACTATAGATTTGTTAAGCGATCCGCGAATCGTACCGCCCATGTGTTAGCTAGGGAGGCCGTTTCTATGGCTAGTTGCGGGGAGTAGTTTGACATGCCGCCCCTTATTCTTGTTCCTGCTCTTGCTTATGATTGAATGAATTAAGGTTCTTTCTTCAAAAAATTATTCCAAATGGGTGATCAATTATGAATTTTTTTTAAAATAAAAAAGATAATCCCAATTTATAATTGTTTTATTGGGATTTCTTAAAACAATTTTTAAAATTAAAAAGATAATCCCAATTTATAATTGTTTTATTGGGATTTCTTAAAACAACAAAAATACGAATCATCAGTCTAAATTGTCCATTTAAGTCAATTATTTTAACTAACAGTCTCCCCACCCATTAATAAATTACTGGTTTGATAAATACTTAACATTTTTATATTGACATCAAATTCAAATAAAATGTTATTTTTAACTTAAAAAACATTATATAAAAACGTCAAAAGATATAAATTTTAGCTTTGACAACCATGATTATCTGACAAATTTAGTTTTAAAAAAAAAAAATGAAACAACCACAACTATTACAAAGTTAATCATGAACAATCACAAGTGTCCATTTTTCGTTCTTCTCTCAAAAGTTGAATCTCCGATTCAAGGGTTCCTCCAGAGTTCCTACACCCCATCCAACAAAGCATTTAAGAGAATGTAAATCACTGCGAAATCACGGCGACTTAATGGCTCAGCATACATGGTCAAATATCGTTGCACACAAGGAAAAAGGATTTGCCCACTTTGGACATAATGGCTACACTGTTATTGCCAAAGTTCGAACATGGGTCTCTTCTCCCAAATACTACATAATGAACCAGTTAGTTAAGCCCGTGGGCGGGCGACAAGTGTCCATCTTTAAGATTGCTAGTCCATGTGTTTAAAAAACTAAGAAAAAAAAAATAAAAACAAATTTTAGCTGTTTTAAAGAATTTAATATTATTACTATTATTAAATAATTTGTTAGTCACACAAGCATAAAAATTTAAAAAATTACATATCTACTATCTATCTACTATACTAATAAGAACCCAAGAGAGTTAGACCTATAATGGATCGAAAAATAGCGGTCAAAGTTTTTAATCAAATGAATAGCTCAGATTGATCAGATTTTAATTTTTCATTAATATTTCTTAATTTATCCTTAATGAATATGATTATCCGTTAACTTTTCTGTTAAATATTACATTTTCCGTTAATTTCTGTTAGTTCACATTTAACTTACTCATTGATTTCAATAAAAAAAAAGCCCTTAGGTTCGAACCTCATTCCAATCAAAGTTGCCATAATTAGTACTGTATTTCACTCTTATTAAATTATTATTAAATAATAATTTAGTAGCTACAACACAAAATAATACATATACATTTCTTTAATTTAGAATTATGTGTCTACAATGTCTTTATTCAAAAAAAATTATTCATTATATATCAATAAATTAAATAAGAGAAATAATTTCATTAGTTATATTGTATTTATTTTTCTCCAATATAAAAATTCTTTACATTCAAATTCATCAATTGATTATATTCGTTACATTGTCTCTACAATGTCTTTATTAAAAAATTATTCATTATTAATAAATTAATTAAGAGAAATCATTTTATTAGTTATATTGTCTTTATATTTCTCCAATGTAAAAATTCTTTACATTCAAATTCATCAATTGATTATATTCACTACATTGTCTATTATCTTTTTTGTGCACTATTTTTAATTAAATATCGAAGTTATAATACAAAATAATGCTATATATTTATTTACCAAGTATTTTATTAATACCATGAAAAAATTAAAAGAATATAATTAATATAGCCAATCATATTAACTACTTGAAGGATTTGTTGACAAAGAGAATGTTCAAATCACACAACAAATTGAAGTGAGAACTACCTCGTAATGTCCTTGTTTGACAATTAGCAGTTAGCGGTTAGCGTTAGCGGATTATATTAGCGAATTTGACCAGCGAATTATATCAACGGTTGGTAAAAACATATTTTAAAAAATTAGTTGTTTAGATTAACATGTAAAATGATCTAAGGATATATATATATATATATATATATATATATTAATTGTTTTTAAAAAATAAAAAAATATATAATTAAGCCAATCATATTAACTACTTGGGAGATTTATTGACAAAAAGAGTATTCAAATCACACAACAAACTAAAGTGGGAAACTATCTCACAATGTCCTTGTTTGGCAATCAGGAATTAAGCTCTTCAATATTAGTATATATTTAATATTTTATGCCCTAATTTTTATTTGCTCTCCCTTATGTCCCGTATTTGGTTTCAATCATACCTATACAATTATTTTATTGATAATTATAATCATTCTTGACTATATTATCTTGCATTTGTAAACTTAGAATTGCCTATTTAAATAGGCAAATTTAACATTCAATTATCTATGCATGAATAATTCCAATATAATCTTGCCTTGATATAATTTAAACTACTTATTTAAAAAAAAAAAAAACAAAAAAACAAAACAGTGGGCATTATCCCAATCACGCAATGCGCGTGAAAAACTAGTTTGCTAAATAAGTGGTAACATAGTGAATATATAACTTAAGAGATCCTTACAATTATCACTTTATGACATATCATTATTTT